AGATCCACTTGCTCGTCGTCTGTGGCTCAGTCTAGCTGTGAGGATGAGATCTACGCTGGTGCCATGGCGGCACAGGAGCTCCGCTGGCTGACCTTCTTGCTCACTGACTTAGGTGAGCGGCCTAGCTCTGCCCCCGTCCTGTACGCTGACAACAGGGCCATGATCCTCTTGTGCCAGGAGCCTCGGCTTGAGGGCAGAGCGAAGCATATCCAGCTGCGGTACTTCCTCCTGCGCGAGCTACAGCAGCATCGCCAGGCCCATGTAGTTCACTTGGCCTCCGGTGCCAACACAGCTGATATCTTTACTAAGGCGCTTGCGCCTAAAGATCATCAGCGGCACTGTGTACAGCTTGGTCTTGTTCCTGTAGCTTCTTATTTTCTAGGGCCATGATTGTGTACTCTCTACTATATATACCTGTCAGATTGGCCTTGTGGCCTTACCTCCAGTGGCTGGACTAGTAGTGTCGCCCTGGCTTGCTTTAGTCTTGTTTGTACTCTTGCTGACTGGTCTCCGGACCCCTGCCTCAGTGGTTGGACTAGTAGTGCCACCCTGAGTTGTGTGCTTCTTGCTTAGCACCACCCCTTATCTAGCCTAGGGGGTGTGTCAACTTATACATATGTTCTATGTAGAAGTTATAGGCTAGACTAGGTGTGTGCTTCTAGTGAGTACAACCCAACAGGTATATGTTCTAGGTTTCTCCTTCTAGTAATCATTCACGTATTCTAACAACACAGGCCCCCCGCAGACAAAGCCTACAGCGCACATCGGCAAAAAAAAAATTTCACACCGCCTCCAGCACAAACTAGGAGGTAATTTTTGTGAAGGGCCAGTCATTTCCCTCAGCCCCCAGCACAGCATACACTGGCCTCTGATTTTGGGTGAAGGGTCAGATAGCACCCTCACAAAGACTCCCAGCAAGTATCGGGCCCTGATTTTGGCTAAGGGCCAATTAGCGCTCTCATACCACAGGCGTGCAGAAAACGTTTCCAGACGAAAGAATGCGCGCTGTCTGCAGACTCATACGAAATATTACACGCAGTCTTAAATTTCAGACGAAAATAAAACATTGCTTTTAACGATCAGACGAATTTTTCAGGGTTGTCTAAACTTTCAGATCAGGTCTGAAAATCAGACCATCAGACCGATTTCGTCTGATAAAAAGGGCCCTGGTGTGAAGGTGGGTCGAAACTGATGCGTCAATGTCATATCGCATATGCACCCTGAAACAAAATCGGGCCCCCGATGGGATAAATTTGTCGAAGGGCCAATTAGCGCCCTCACAACGCGATGAGTGGTAGTGTGAGTGCGCTAATTGGTTCTTTGCCAGATTCAGCGCGTGACATGTGGTGTAGTCTGCTTGAGGGCCCTGATTGGTCCTTCACCGATTTTGCGGCTTGTGAGGTTGGTGGGGGCTGACGTGTGGGCGGCGCTGGTTGACCCCCGGCAACTACTTTGTGAGGGTGCTGCCTGCCTCCCCGAGTACCGTCCCTTCAATTTCATTTTTTGTCCCCTTCCCCTCGCGCCTTTCAAACTCGTTTATGACCCATCCATCAAGTTTCGCCCTGTTTGCGACCTTGGCTTGGACCCCACCGTCCTTGGACCCGACCGACCAAGGTTCTCGGGAGTTGAGAATCGAATGTTTTTGTTTCCACTACGGTATGTGAAGCTACAATGGCAACGCCCGGGGGAGTGTGTGAACAAGCAACCACTCGGCTGAAATTTTAGATATCGAATTTTGCTTCGTCTCGGAAATCACAAAACGAAAGCGCCTAGCGAGGGCCATGGAGACAACGTAATGCTCTACAGCATGCTCTTCCGCATGACAAACAAGTGACAGGACAAATTATGTGTCCGATGCGACCACGACCCTGATGCGTCAGTGTCGAAATCGGTACCGACCCTGATCAATCAGGGTGGTTCAAAACCAATCTGAGGGCCTGGTGCAATGCAAGGGTTCAACTACTCAACTTCTGCTGCACTACTCAAGCATCCTTGTACCGTATTCCCCCGTATACAACACCCCGCAAAATTAAACTCCCATGGGTAGTTTGAGCGGACATGGGTGCTTTATTAAAGTGGATATTGATAACACCTGCCTTCGACGATTGCAAACATTTGAACACCCCCCTACTTTATAAAATGTTATTTTTAGTCAATAAACAGAGCTACGAACATCAGATGTTAGATATCCTACGAATTCCATAGAGTATTGCCTACAGAACCAAGTCCTACTGCAGATTGTCATATTGTATGATGAGGTCCTACAGATGCTAGTCGTCGACTTCAGCATCCGCAGCATCACCGTCACAGTCTTCAGCATCAGCATCCTCCTCCTCAGGATCCCCCGCATGCCAGATCTCCACATCTTCTTCATTCGCGACCTCATCCCACCAGCGGTCGTCATCGTCCTCCCCAGCAATCCCCTCTGCCGGCCACTCCCGAACAGGCTCATCCAGCGGGCCCTCCCCCTCGCATGCAAGCTCTTCAAGTAGGACGTCAGCGGCGTTATCGTCCTCATCGAAGTCGGGGGTGTCCATGGGGGGCTCAACAAAGCAATCGTCGTACAGGGGGTTGACGTACTCATCCTCCCCCTCCTCCGCGTGCACATCGTCCATGATCTCCACCTCTGCCTTGCTGCGGAGGTGGCTCAGGACGAGCCGGTCTTCGGAGCCACTGAGGTCATTGGCAATACCGCAGGTCTTGAAGCTCTTGCGGATGAGCTCCTCGGGGACTGCATCCCATGAGCGAGCAATCCACTTGAGGATTAACTCCGGTGGGGGCTTCCTCAAGTTTCTTGGAAAACATAGGACACACATGCTTTCCTTAGTCTTCTCGTGACACTTGCGTTACGCCCAGTAGGAAAAAAACCTGAGACAGTGCTGAAGGAAGTGGACCGTACCTTGCTTGGTCTTGAGATTGATGCCGAATCTCTCAAACCACCCGCCGTAATCACTTCGAACGCCTGCCTTGAAGCACTTGTTTACCGAGACATCGAGGGGCTGCACCAGCGGCGTGCACCCTCCCGGGATAACGGCGCGGGTAAACTTGAAAAGGCGCATCGTCTGTCCCACCGCCTCCATCAGGTGGCCCTTGTAGGAATCCAGGACGACGAGCGCGTCCTTCCTCCTCCCATTCGCTTCTCGCAATGGTTTCATGAACGGGTTCAGGACCTGGGTGACCCAGTCCTGAACGTGCTTCTCGTCCATCCAGCCCTTGTTCTGGGCGCGGATTATTACTCCTGCATCAGTAAACGATTAAATGTGTGTTAGAACTTAGATTACCGAGGCCACCAGAATCGATATCACCTTTGACAAAGGGAATATCTTACCAGCTGGGACTTGAATCTTCGGAACAGTCTTCCTTTTGAAGATGACGTATGGCGGGAGCTTCTTCCCCGATGCCGTCACTGCCAGCATCACAGTGAGTCTTTCCTTCTCATAGCCCGCGGTCCTCACGTGAACCGTGCGCGCCCCCTTGTGGTCCAAGGTCCTCTCCTGTGGCATCTCGATGAAGAGCGGCGTCTGGTCCGCGTTCACAATCAGGTCGTGGCTGTAGTTGTTCAAGATGCGCATCTGCTTGACAAATTCCCAAAACTTTTCAATCTTCACCCTCATGTCTGCATTCATAAACTCAAGGATACGAGAATGAATTAGATTGTAGACCCAGGCAATGTCTAAACAGGTAAGGAATCTTGAACAAATAGCATCCACCGGCCAAACTTACCGTCAACAAGTTTCTGACCCATTTTGGTTTTAACGCGGCGTGTTAGACCCTATCGGGCGCGAAACCGGAAGGTCCACTGACTTGACCCGCGCCAGTCCACGCCAGGATGGTGCACCCGCATGTAGGCGCGACTCCACTTCTGCAGCTGCGAGACCGAGACTGCGAGCCCCTTGGATCGATGCCTCAAGAACTGTCGGTAGAGAGCCGACTCCATCACGGGGTACTTGGCCGGACGACCGCCACCGACGAGCCTCTTCCGACAACCAGCCGCAACTCTCAGCCGCTCCCGGGCCTTCTTCCATTCCCGAATGCTAATGGGCTGAACACCTGCAAGCTTCGCGAGGGCACGAATAGACAGGTCAGGCTGTGCGTCAAACATCGCGAGCCAATACAGTTTCTCAGTAGCGGAATAGGAGCGACGTGCTCGTTTGGTCATTCTGCTGCGGGGGGACGGTGGATTCGCATCGTGGTTGATGGTGGGTCCTCTCGGCCTGACAACGGGTGACGGGAATGAGGGGAAAGTAACACGGGGCAGCGTACGGCGCTCCTGGCTAGCACCACTAGCCGCCTCGTCGGCAATTGTGGCATCGTTGCTAGCTGTGCGGAGCGGGCTCCTAGGCGGAGATGAACTAGACGATCGCGGTACATGACGAGTGAAAAATGTCTGCCGGCCATGAGGGCCGCGTTGGGCAAGAAGGCGACTGAGACCAGAGCCCGTATTCATGGCGTCGGTAGGCTAGGAGGATAAGGGCAGAGAACCCAAGATGCCTTCGGCATTCCATACTGGAGGAGTTTTGAGAGCATCCTGATCTCGGATGCAGAAATGAGGGGACGAAGCGGGCTATACCCCCCGTGAAACGACGAGGGTGGAGAGGAGAGGGACGTGAGCTCCTCCCTTGTCATGCCGCACACGACACCCCCGTCAGGACCATCCAGCGCTCACGCGCTGGACGCATCTTGACGACTCCGTCAAGATGCCCCACGGTACCCTGCCAGATTCATCGACTCTGGCATGCTGCCATCGAGACGAGGTGCGCTGGCACACATCAGACAGGTAGCTGAGTAATCGGCACAGATAGAAGACCCTCATTGGCTGCTGAACTCACCCTTGGGTGACACATGATCCCACTTGGCATGCCCCCGAGCCTTATCATCTCGTATGCGGTCAGAAGTCAGTTCAACAGGTTTCCAAGGTCTGGTTTAAGAACTCCTGCTTTTCTCCACATTGAACTATAAAATGCATGTTCCACAACACCCTGGCGTTATACAAAATTAGCCTCTAATTACACCCTCCTCAAAATTTAGATGCATTTTGGTTACCACCCTAGGGTGTTTTATACGGGGGAATACGGTACAACTGGGACTTAGTCTCTGAAAGATCCGAAGGGCTTTTTCTCAGCCCAACAGGCTAGATAGGTGCATGCTCTTAGAGGGTAGGGTACAACCACTTGAACAAAATCAACCTGTATGCCTCATTCTAGTTAACTTATCTACTCTGAGAGGTTGCACCTGCAGGTTTCACTAACTACAGCATGATATCAAGGCCCGTACTGGTACATGTATGGTATATGCAGGAAGACATGATGGAGGCTGGCTGCTCCATTAGCAGAACAGCTACCTGAACCCCAACCAGAGTGATGGACAAAAAACAAAAGACGCATTGGAGAATTCTGGGTTCACTTCACAATATGTCCGTTGACACTATTCATCAACAACGTTGACCAGCTCGTATTCAACAAGAGAGAGGTTATTGTCTTCCTTAGGACGAAAAGAAGCGTCTTCTGTGGGCTCCACTCGACCCCACTTGTCCACAGCAAGGCGCATGGAGCCACGGAACATGTCAATCTTTGCATTGCGGAGATTTACAGTAGCTCCCTCCTTGAGCACGTCAACTGAAACGCGCCATTTAAGTAAGGCAAAGACACAAAAACAGCAAGATTAAGTTTGGAAGGGTTAGCCTGACGGCTCAGCCGATGAAAACATGTTCCTTCAGAAATCCTCCACCGCACACATGAAGGCCGATAAAAAAAATCTCCCCAATACGCAACTGAAATGTCTCTATCATCGACCCAGCAGTTAAATCGCATCTCATGCAGCAACAGAACGAGAAGAGATTGTGTATTGGTCACGTCAACTTCGCCGCCAGGAAATAACGGAAAACCAGCAGGTAGCATGTTGAAATGTAACTGGAAGCAACCCCAATAATTGGAAAGTCGCTTCAGAGGGGCACTCGCCCGACGAACTGGAAAAAGTACGACCTACCTAACACCGAACCTTGAAAAGAATGCAATACAAGTAGGAGTGCTGAGATCGGAAGATAAAAACCTCACCTTGCTCATTCCGTGCAGTGAAGACAATCACCCCCGTCTCATCTCCTACAATGCATTCAGCTATCGTCATACTCCGCATCTGGCCCCCATCTTGCCTGGGCCTCTGGAGAACAATCTTTGAATTCACGACCTTGACTGTTAAATTGTGACCAGATGTGCCTGGCCGTAGCTGGTCGATCTTCGTGAACACGGGCTTTCGAAGTGGGGCAGCTGCCATGATGTTCTGACTACTATGGAACAAACAAACAAAACTATGACCCTGGGAACCTAATCTGTATACTGCGATTTACAGGAGTAAGAACCAGCTCCAGAATCTAAGACAGTTTTAGTCCTCACAGGGACCTACAGCGAGACTCGTTCGGATCGGACAAAACAGACCATGGCAAAACTGGACAGATCCGAGATGTGAAGCGCTGGAGGGAGGTGGAGGATGGAAGATTGTGAGGGAGCCGAAGGTCCAGAGTAATGAAACAGCCTGCGAACCTGGACGAAACTCTCATTTGCTTTCGTCCCATGTGACTGGGGTTACGCCATGTAGGGGCATGCGAACATTCGCCAACTCGGCGTTCTCGCAGTCCTAGTCACGCCCTCCACCCTATGTGTTGCTTTGTGAGCACACATCCCCCCCGCTTTGGATCAAAACCTTCTCCAGGTGAACTCTGATTGGTTTCGATCCCAAAAGATCTGCCAACAACCCACTGGTGCGGTTGAGCGAGTTACGGTGAGCTACAGAGTGGTGTTCTGGATTTCACATGTTGGTTGACAAAATGCACACATGAGAACCAAGTGTCATCATCACAACACTAGATATTTCCTATTGGATATAAGTGGGCATGCCCCAAGGCAAGATGAAACATTACCATCACACAACTTAGACATGCCGTGCTGAGGTTTCTTTTGGGCAAGCAAACAATGAGTGAATATTGTATTGGTATGAACATTATACCGGTATTTTGCAACCGATACTTGTTCAAAATGTGAAAAAACGCTACGAAGTGAGCATAAAAAGCGAGTTAAAAAAAGAATAAGTATATGCCGTCCTCCATATCCCCCGATTTGGTTAGACAGCTGGAGCAATGCCTGCACCATTAGAAGCCCCATTGAGCGCCTCCTTGAGCCCATCAAGCGCCCACACCTTGGCATTCCGCGCATCCTCAGCCTCCATGCGGGATGAATATGCCGCATGGTCATACACAAAGTTGTCCCCTGTCCCACCCAATGACGCGTCGAGCTGCGACGTGTCAAAGAGCTCCTCCATAACTTTGAGTGATGGTGCACTCTTGCGGTACACAAACTTTATCTTCTGGAAAGTCACTGGGTCAATGAACGGGCGGATCACCTGATGCGGTGGGGTGGGGTGGGATGGGGGGATGGGATGTGATCAAACGAGGTAAGATGGGATGAGATTGGATGTGATAGCATGTGAGGTGATGGGAAGTGCTGTGAAGTGAGGGGGGATAGGGGCAGAATGGGCAGGTAATGGGACATAAGCCACAGCCGACAGCGATGATGGGGCTAGAGGCTAAAGATGATTGATAGTTTCTGGTTCCTACTGGTGCCTTCAAGCAGAGAATATGGGAGCAAGGTGGCAGCAGAGAAGCTTCAGATGGGGAGGAGACTTGGGGGTATGCGTGTGCAAGCAAAGCGACCTGCTATTCTTTGCAAGATAATCCAAATCACCAATCTGTGAAGGACTTCAATGAACGACTGGCCCCGTCACGCTCGCCAAAGGACATCCTTTCCACCTTCCCGCTCCCCGCCAACTGCTTGCCCCTTCCAGCGGCTCAGGCACAACACCAGCTTGCAATGAAACCATTGACATGGACGGAGAAGTGGCACCTCGGAACCCCTTGATTGACAGGTGCACTCCCAGCAACCGCCGCCTCCCTCCAGAATCTCACATTCCACCCTGTATTGACTAGAAAAGGCTCATTCTTGCTTCCTTGCTCCATCCGTCCCCCATTTCTTAACCAGTCCGTACCCACATCCTCCCATCCTGCAACCCGCCTTCCCACTTCTCTTTGTTCCTTCCTCCCTCCCTGCCAACCCCATCAACCCTCCCACCCCCCCCCCCCCGTCTCCCCCTCCCCCTCCTCCTCCCCCTCAACCCACGCACCCACCCACCTTCCAGAGCCCTTGGAAGAGATACGGCGGGTCGAAGAGAATCGCCGCGCCCAGCCGCTCGGGGTAGTGGTTCTGCAGGATGTGCAGCACCTCGCGGGACGTCTTCATGGGCGGCGACTTGCGCAGCGTGAACGCCTTGTAGTCGATGATCCACACCATCTGCTCCATGCCCTCGGGCAAGGAGGCGACTGCGTTCTCCATGCAGTACACCATGTGCCGGATGTTGCCCTCGTGGTCCTCCGTGTTCTGGGGGGGGGGGGGGGGGGGGGGGGAGGGGAGGGGGAAGTGGGAAGCGGGAAGGGAAGAGGGGGGAGGGGAAGGGAGGGAGGGAGGGAGGGAGGGTGGGAGAGAGTGAGGGAGGGGGGAAGGAGGGAGAGAGAGAGGGAGGGAGGAGGGGTTGGGGGGAGTCGATGAACCACAGCATCAAGGGAGAGGGCAGTAAAGGGGCGCAGCAAGGGCCATCACATCATCGTCCCCTCCCCCCACCCTACCGCCACCATAACCCCACTCATGCCTTCCCTTTCTTCTCACCCATTCTCCCCACATCTCCCCACCTTCTCTTCCCCCTCCCCTTCCCCTCCCTTCCCCCCCTCCCCCTCTTCCATCTCCATTACCCCGTCCGTCCGCCATGCCTCCGCTCACGGACCTGTTTGCCGGGGCACAGGACGAGCACGGGGCGGCCGAATTTGTCCGTGAACGGCGCGCGGTACACCTTGCCCGTCTCCGACTCCTTCGCCACGTCAGCCTGCGCAATAGACGCGTGTCGGGGAGAGGGGGAGAGGGGGAGAGGAGGGGGGGGGGGGGGGGGGGGAGGCGGGGGAGGAGAAGCGGAGGGCTCAGATGCGAGCCGCGGTGACGAATTCAGCGGATGGAAACGCGCGGGACGAGGCAACGCGGAACGGCGGATGGAATGGAACCGAACCACGGTAAGCGCGCGCTGCGGTGTTAGGGCACGGTCGCGATCCGACGCGCCTCGATACCAGAGATGCTCAAAACAAAGAGAGAGGGAACTCGCGCGGAGACGGACGGGCGGACGGTCGTACAGCGCGCAGCACAAACGTAGCGCAGGCGGACGGGCGGTCGCAGGTAAGAGGAGCCAAGCCTCTCGAGGAGCCTCGCAGCAAGCTGCATCGCAATCAGGCGCAATGCACGGCACGCCCGGCTTGCTCTTGAGCGGCCCCCGGTATGCATCGCGATTGAGATCAGTAACTTCTACGAAGCACGCGAGGATGGTGGGTTGTGTGAGGTTAAGGTGATCGACCGGGCGGGAAAGAAAGCAAGGAAAGCACGGCACGAACAGCGCGCGCGCGCGGATCCCAAGAATGGGGTCCTGGAACTGCCGCAGCGGACACGCCGTACACTCGCGCTCACCCAGTGCACTCGCGCTCACCCAGTGCACGCGCGCTCACTTAGCGGATTCGCGCTCACCCAGCGGATTCGCTCGGGTTGGAAGGCGCGGCGCCACGCGATGGAGTCCTGCAGCATCTTCTCCGCCTTCTTCATGTGCCAGCTGCGCGCGCGCAGGTAGCGCCGCAGACACGCGTCCGTGCAGAAGAGCGCGATCGCGCCCTCCACGGGCCCGATGGCCGCGCGCAGCTCTTCCACCTGGGGGGAGGGCGGAGGGGGGAGGGGGGAGGTGGGAGAAGCGCCCGTGCCCGCGGGGGGGGGGAATTGGGGGAATGGGAGATGGGGATTGGAGGGGAGAGGAGGGGGAATTGGAAGAGGGATCCACGGTGAAAGCGATGGGTAACGATGAGGAGACGATGCAAGCAGCTGGTTCCTCACCTTAGCTGCTTGCTCTTCCGGCGTGAGCTGGTGGTGGTGAAACGGTAACCGGAGGTGATGGTGGTGGTGGTGGTGGTGCGGCTGCGGCTGCGACTGCTGGGTATGGCTTTGTTGATCTGGTTTACTGTGTCCGTTCTGCTGGCCGTCCTCTTGTACCTCCGCCTCCTGTTGAACTTTCTCTTCCTGCACGCCGTTCTCCTCTTGTTGCACGCCGTTCTGCTCGCCCTTCTGCTCGCCGTTCTGCACGCCTTCCTCCACTTTATAAGGCTCCTCTGGCCGAAACTGCTCGTTTGTGTCAGTGCCAGCAATTTGCTGGGGGGAGTCCATGGTCGAATGCGGAGCTAAGGTTGCGGGGACGGTCGGACGGACGGACGACCGGACAGACGGGCGGAAGGACGAGGGACTAGACGCACGGAGAAAGGGAGCCGAGATCGCGCGGAGAGCCTATGATTAGAGTAAGGAAGAGCCCACGGAACGGGATCAATAGCTGTAGAGTGGCTAAAACGACCAGCTTGACGTGAATTCCGATCAAAAACGCAAAACTAATCGTCCGGAAATGACGACTGCTACTTGGTCAGAACAACCGAGTTTCACGGGTCAACCTTTGAAAACCATAGTTTTGAATGGTGTCTGATTACGGTGCTGTACAGCTGTAGTGCGTTGGGAAACACCGGTTCGGGACAGATACGGAACGGTGAGAGACAGGATCTACGGAAGAATCAAAGAGGTTCGGAATCGGAAGATGTGCTCCGGATGTTCAACAAGGAAGGGGCACCACAAGTGTCTGTGTGAAACTGCTTCGGTTCTGCACTGGTGGCTCTTGGAGGGAGAGGTTCGGAAAGTGGCTCTAGCTAAAAAGCTAATTACCCTTAATGACGAGAAATTAAAAGTTGTTCCCGACCTGATTCAGTTTTTTTTTCATAGTAATGTTTTCTTGATTCCGTCTTTCTAACGGTTTACTTTTCGGCGATTCAGTCCGCTAACGGGTAATTTTGGGGCCGATTCCGTGACCTAACGGAATTCCCTAGGCTTAGCGAGTGCCCTGGTTCGGAACGAGGCACTCAGCTAGGTTGAACCAGCGAATGGGATGGGAACATACCAGCTGTGGTTGAACCAGTGAATGTGAATGCCGCTTTCAGCGAAGGTTGGTCACACAGGTCAGTGACGTCAGTAAGTAGCCTTCCCCTGTGCTGCAAAGGGGTGAATTCTCATCCACTAGTCTGAAAGGCCCCGTTCTCCCCTTTCTCTCTTTCTGATATATCATTTTGGGTGTACATGATACTGTGTACATGGTGTGTCTTTCACCAATGAGGGGTGTACATACGTTGCTTTCCATCCTTTCTATCTGTTCTAGCATACATTAGTGGATGCCAACAGTGATTGGAATTCGTTATAGAATAGAAACAGCCTCCCAGGCATGAGTACTTGATTACCTAGCATAGTAACGTTTTCATAGTAGAGATTTACACTAAGTAATACGCATTTGGGTCTGCTTTATCACTTGCATGAGTTCCAAAATTGGTTTCCATGTCTGGTTGAATCCGTTGAAAATGGAAATGGTTGTTGGGGTGAGGAGGTGGAGCATATCAAAATTCAGCCAGGTTACTGAGTTAAAAGGGCTTATTAATAGCGAGTCAGTGCGCCCATAGCCCCCCATGCTCTACACCTTTGGCCCTTCCCGGAGGATCTTCTCAAGGATAACCCTAGCGGGTCTCTCGGTACCCCCCCTCTCGCTGGGATAGGCGGAGGACACGAACGCCTCTGCGGCGATAGCATTGGGAATTGAACCGGAGTCACCAACGCTCTTATAGCATATCAAAACTTAGCTACAAACCATTGTGTTAAAAGGGTTTGTTAATAACGGGTCAGTGCGCCCATAGCCCCCCAGGCTCTGCACCTGTGGCCCTTCCCCGAGGATCTACTCAAAGGTTACCCCAGCGGGACTCTCGACAGAGCACACAATCGTTGAAGATTGCGCGACCTAGAACCCGATCGGGCAGGGTACTCTCTCAACGACCCTGTGCTCTCCCACAATGTGGGAATTGGCTTTTGCCAAGCCTCGTCCTGCCGCAAATTCCTTTTAGGACACGGGAAGAACCACAGAAACTCACATGAGGCTGTATTCATTTGTACAGGTCAGACGCGACTAGTGCAACGACTCATAAGGCATATATTTGCACAGGGCAATTATTCGGTAGGCTGAATTCCCATGTACGTAGTGTGCACGGTGTTCCACCAATTGTATAAGCGTACGGAATAAACGTCGCAACCTCTAGCATTCACTAAAAAAATGGTCAAAACCACAGCCCATTGGCCAGCGATCATCAAGACCCCTACGCACCCACCTTGTTAACCCAATGGTGCGAAAATGATCCACGTGATCCCCATTGTTTACGACATCCGACGTCATTTTCGGGACGTAATTAATCAGGATGGGCAACTCGAACAAAAAATGAAGCGATGTAAGCCTGATGTTACCCCATTACGCATGGTTATTAAGACACGCCAGCCGAGTGTCCCTTGTTTCCGATATGAGGCTTGGTTTTCGTTATGGGATTCGCAAAACACCCATGAAACGTCGCACAAATATGTGCGAGGAAACCTTCGACTTCCCGTCGTAGCATACGCCAGAGGCACCAACCATGTACAGTACGCAACATACAGCACCGCAACTCACTTAATGCGACTCTGCTTGCGTCGCACAGCCCCCCTCGAACAGAGCAAATTCCAACAATCTTGGAGCTTGCTTTGTTCGAGTATGATCTGTACTTCACTCTTATCGCGAGCAAATACATCGTTTCTTCCTGCAACCCGAAATGAGTTTAGGGTTGATGTCTCCCGAATGAGATCCATGTCCCCTCTGGGTTTTATGCCTTTTCCTTGCCCGAAAACGGAAGTTAGCAGAACGAGTGCAAACGCATTTATCTTCTGGCGTAAACTGAGTGCAACTGATGTTTCTCGTGAATCACTCTCTACATTCGAGGTGGCAGGTCAAGCTATGGTATAGCCACTGGTTATTGCGTGTCCCTCCCTCCCTCCCGCACGTCGGCGCAAGGCTGATGCGACAGACTAAGGGCCTAAAACTTTTCACGAAAAATGCAAAAGTTCGCTCAGCAGCCGCTCTAAACCGTAGTTGCCAGCACTGCAACACAGAAAACCGTGTAGAACCCCCCTTTCACTTCGAGCTTCAGATTCTTTCCGAACAAACTGTATCACGCTATAAGACACCACACCAACCCCAATGAGACTCTTGGCCCTAGCTGGATGCCACATGGATAGATTCCTTCAAAGCACAAGGGTGTGGTATACAGATAATACTCGAACAGAGCAAAATCCAAGATTGTTGGAATTTTGCAGTGTTCGAGAAGGACTGTCAACTTATACATATGTTTGTATTTAGTTATAGGCTAGATAGCTGTATGTTCTTAGAGGGTACAACTCCAACCATATATCTCCCTTGTTCACACTTCTTTCTAGTCATTCTTGTATTCTAACATGGTATCATGAGTAGGTTAGGTCTGCCCACCCGCTTCCGCCCCTAGCTCTAGACTACCGCCCAGCCGGCCCCTAGTGCGCCCGCCGGCCCCTAGCGTGCCTGCCGCCCCTAGCGTACTGCCAGCCCCTAGCGTGCCCGCCGGCCCCTAGCGCCTAGCCGGCCCCACGTGCCTAGCCGGTCCCATGCGTACCCGCTGGCCCCTAGCGCTCAGCCGGCCCCTCACGCACCTCGCTGGCCCCTCGCTACCCGCCGCCGCTTAAGCGCCACGTCGGCCCCTCGCACCTAGTCGGCATTTCGCGCCTAGCCGGCCCTTCGTGCGCTCGCCTGGCCCCTCGCGCACCCGCCCGGCCCACAGCGTGCCTCGCCGGCCCTTCGCGCTCACCGGCCCCTTCAAGCACCCGCCGGCCCTTCACACGCTCGCCGGCCCCTCACGCGCTTGCCGGCCACTCCCGCGCTCCCTGGCCCCTCACGCACTCGCCGGCCCTTCACGCGCCCCGGCCCCTCACGCGCCCGCCGACCCCTTCCATGCGCGTCGGCCCATCACGCGCTCGCCGACCCTTTGCGTGCGCCGGCCTCCTCTCCCATGCCCACCGGCCCCTCCTGTTCTCGCCTGCCCCTTTGCGCCTCTCATGCCCGTCGCGCCTCTCCGGCCCTTAGCACCTCGCCAGTCACCTAGCGCCTCGTTGGCCCCAGCGCTCTGCCGGCCCTTTGCGCCCTGTTGGCTCTGTGCGCCTCGGGCTTCTCCTCGGCCTTCCACCAGGTCTTCTCGCTAGAGAGTCCTGCCGCTATGTTGCCGTGTCGCTGATTACCTGTCCCGCTGTACCGCTGTGTCGCTGTGCCACCGTGATGCTATGCTGCGGAGGTTGCACGATGGTGGATGCTGTGCTTCGCCTAGATGCGAAGGGACACGCGATCAACTTCGCCGCCTGGCAGGTCGATCTCCGCCGTCACCTGACATGTCAGCCCCAGGATGGGCACTCCCTGGCTATGCATGTTGATGGCTTGCTTCCCCACCCCCACGCGCCTGATCCCCTCCCTGCTGACCCCACCACTGCTGAGAGTGAGACCTTTGCTACTGCTGCGCTCGCTTGCGCTGTCTGGGACTCTCGCGATGTTGTAGCGCATCTCGCCAATAGTTATGTGCTTCCCCTGTCTGAGCGTCCGCGCTTCACTGCTGCCACGAACACAAAGGATTTCTTAGATGCAGTAGTTGCGCGCTATCGGCACCTGCCTCCGCCTCTGCTGGCCGCTTGATCCTCCCCATGATATTCCCCGATCTTTCCGCTTTCCCCACTATGGCTGACCTCACAACAGACTAGCTATCGCGCTGCTAGCACTGCCGCCCAGCGCACTGCCTTCCCCCCACTGTTCTGTGCTACCCTGTACCTTATTGCCATGCGCCTGCCTGATCGGTTAGCCACTGCTTGCGAACACTTCCTTGGCCTGCACCCTGGTGGCCTCACCCTAACCGCCTTTGTCACTGCCCTTTCTGAGATAGAGACTCGCTAGTGCACTATCGCTCAGTCGAGCGGTGTTGCGGCAGTCCCTATCTTTCAGGGCTATGCTCCCTCCCAATGCACGTACGCTGGCGTTCCCACCGTGGTCGCTACGGCTGCTCCTGCCACTGAGACCGCAGCTACGGCCTTCCCGCAACAGCGACAGCGTCGGGGCCGTCGCGGCCCCAAGGGAGGGCGTGGTGGTGGTGGTGCTGGTGGTGGTGATGGTGGTGGAGAAAGTGGTTCTGACGAGGGGGTTGGGGCTGGTGTCTAGGAGCAGCAGCAGATGCAGCAGCAGCAGTCGCAGCAGCAGCAGCCGCAGCAGTAGTAGCAGCAGCAGCCGTGGGCCTGCCTCCCGCCAGGGTGGCCAGGAGCCCCTGGAGGTGGTGGCCGCGGTGGCGGTCCTCGCAGCTCGGCGTCTACTGGCGGTTTCGGTGCAGTGAGCTGCCAGTACTAGCTCTAGACCGGGCCCCTCCATGGCACTGTGTGCCGCCACCCACATCCGACCGCCGGCTGCTTCCGCCGCCTCGACGACCTTTTCCGTCGCCGCTTGGGCCTGGCCCCGGACCTCCCTAATTGGCCCAGTCTTCTGCCCCACGGT